TCTCTCTCTCTCTCAATTGTCAAAGATTTTAGCTTGTCCCTTGCCGTCTTCAATGGCTTTTTCATGAAAACTTTGCTGTATTTCTTGGTCATTAAGTGCATGAATATTTCTCCTATCTTTAGCATCAAAAACATCCTGACGTGTAGAAAACTCTCAGAAATATCCAAGTCATGTGACAAAGTGCTGGTGGAATAGAGCTAATCACAGCCGAGTATTGAGCTCCATGATTTCTAGAATTATTACTTATATAATTGATGAGATTTGCATGACGTTGCACGACCATGCTTATCTATTTGGCTAATTATTCAAATACGTGCTACTCCACATCTAGCACATATACATACGTGCTAGTCAATATATTCTTAAGTTATACGATACAAGATATATTTTTTATTTTTATTTTTGTTCTTTAAACAAACCCGCGATGCTTAATTTACAAACAAAAATTATGTACAAAAGGATTAACACGAATAAAATACTATAATCGCCTATATGTTAGAGATTTAAATTCATAAATTCTTTAAACACCATATAAAAATATTCATCCCAAAATCAATTACTAATGTGTTAAGGGAGCTACAAGGCTGATGTAGTAATTTCATACGTGTTGTCATATTGATAAGGCAAGCTTAAGTACTTAATTAAGTCAATTAATAATGTCTTGTCACAAAATAACTAAAATTTAGCTAACTAAAAGACAAAAACATACTTCAATAGAATATGTTCATATGCTCTAAAATGACTTTTTGCTACAAAAATACTCTAAATATAGAACATTACTGTAGTAACTTGTATAAATACTTTATAATTTTTTCTCTCTCCTTCTGTCATTTCCCATCTCTTATCTACTCTCTATCTTTCTCTCTCTAACAATCCTAACAAAGGTACAAAATATATAAAATAATATTTAAAAATAATAATTAAATTATAGAAAATCTATCAAAGTATATATTGAAAAAATGAATAACTAAAATACAAAATATATACTTTTGGATAGATAAAATATAAAACCTTGTTGGAAATGCTCTTAGTGGAGTAATAACATATAAAATTTATGCATTCTTGCACAAGTACTACATGCCCGTGTTAGGAGGTTGTATGGTTAATTCCCAAATAACTGGTAATACTTAAATAAAATAAAGGTCAATATTCAGCCAAACAAAAAAAGGAAAAAAAAAAAAAAGGAAAACTGTGAAGCATGTGCCTGCACAGTGATATGACCTCCGACTGCTTTCGCCAATATAAGCCCAACTCTCTCGCCAATAAAAGTCTCTCTCTCTCATCAAAATATGAGAACGCCTAATATGAGGAGTCCTACATTCATCTTTCTGGTTGCATTGCTTGTCTGGTCTTCAGGAAATGAAACTTGCGGTGCTAGAATAGTCAAGCACTGGAGAGGAAGCAAAGCAATTCCACCATCCCTTTCAAATAAGAAAGGTGATAATGATGCCGATAGCCAATATCCAACAAGGTTGATGGAAGAGAGTTTCACTGCACAAGGAAAGGCTTCAACTACTACTTTTAATGTAATAGACTATGGTGCTAAAGGTGATGGAACTACGGATGACACAAAGGTAGCTTTGAGCTTTCTTCAGATTCTGCTCAAAATAGTGGTGTTTAGAAAACCATGAATTAACCCCGAGAAATAATTCAAGTGGTAATAGTCCTCGAAGATTTTTGAGATTCTAGTAAAACTAATCTTGAACTGTCTAGTAAGTGGTTTGGATAAGAGGATTTCAGTTGTTAATATTCTACAGTCTCAAGTTCAAGTCTTACAAATAACGTTATAGTTTATCTAATGCACATGATTTATGAGTGAGTGCACGCATCCTAAGTTTAGGCATGATTTAGACGGTTCTCGGTTTTTTAAAAAATGTTTCCTAAGACATAATTTGCTAGCCTCCCCATTTGTCGAGACCCATGAATCTACTCTGCTTAACATGATACAACCTGCAATCCTTGGCAGGCATTTGAAGCAGCATGGGCATCTGCTTGCAAAGTGGAGGCATCAACAATGGTGGTTCCATCAGGGTCTGTCTACCTAGTCAAGCCCATCTCTTTCTCAGGACCCAACTGTGGATCAAACATCATATTTCAGGTGAATTTCAAATCATCAACTCACCAGTAACAACCCCTATATTCAAGCTTTTGGCAGACATGTTATTCTTGAAGTTCAGTAGACAGATTAGTATTTGAATATATGTGACTAATTGATTCTCTCTCTTTCTGCAGGTGGATGGCAAAATTATTGCTCCTACAAGCCCTGGGGCTTGGGGTTCGGGTCTACTTCAATGGCTCGAATTTACGAAGCTTACAGGGATTACAGTCAAGGGCAAAGGTGTTATTGACGGGCAAGGCTCAGTCTGGTGGAGTGACTCATCCACAGAAAATCCAACAGAAGAATCAGAATCAGTCTCTCCACTCAAAGATTCAACTTATGAGAGCTCGCCGGCTCTGGTAACTGCCACATCCTTTTTAAGCCTAACCAGGCCACATCTATTTCTTCGACTCATCAGTCTTTGATAATTTGCCACTTATCAGAATATATAACAAACTAATTATGCGGTTAAATGGCATTCATGTCTGGCAGGTAAGTAGTGAGGCCACAGGGAAAATGCCCAGCACCAAGCCAACAGTAAGTACTCGTATAGAGATCCCACACTGTATTTCAGAATCTGACACTAAAAATAAAGGATTTTAAGGGAATTTTACCTTGGTATGCAGGCAATCAGGTTCTATGGGAGTTCTGACGTGACAGTGACTGGCATAACAATTCAAAACAGTCCTCAGACTCATCTCAAGTTCGACGACTGCACAGCTGTTCAGGTTTTTGGCATGACAGTTTCATCCCCAAGTGACAGTCCTAACACCGATGGAATCCACCTTCAGAACTCCCAAGATGTGGTAATCCACAACACTAATGTTGCTTGCGGTAATTCCAATCCATCCCTCCTTCCATTTGTGTAAACCAACTGCATACTTAGCATTTGACAGATGATGACTAGATACTAGAATCCTTGGCACACGTGACACAACAAGTGTGCAGAATTTGATACTTTTCTGAAAAAAAGAAATGACTGAATATGTTGTTCATTATTTCAGATGTAGAGAATATAGAGAAAGTAGAAGAGAAAGACAGTTATGATAGATGGTCAAAATACCCAATTGGAAAGACAGTTATTTTTGGACAAGTTTAGGCTATTTTGCCATGGTTTCATCGGCCCTTACAAAGAGTTAGACCCCTTGATATAAGGCCGCAAATTCCTGTGCCTTTTACAACCAAAACTGCTTCCCCTGTTGTCACTCCTCTGCAACTGCACATGGCTATTCAACTTCTTAGAAACACTAGCAAATTTAGTATAAGGTCAGACTGATCAAAAGTGCAAGGAACAAAGCCACATCAAACAAAGAGTTACTGACATATTATCATATGCCTTGCTTTATTCTACAGGAGATGATTGTGTCTCCATACAAACTGGGTGCTCTGGCATATTTATTCACAACATGAATTGTGGACCTGGGCATGGGATCAGCATTGGAGGGCTAGGAAGGGGAAACACCAGGGCCTGCGTCTCAAACGTCACCATCCGAGACACCACAATGCACAATACATTGACTGGTGTAAGAATAAAGACATGGCAGGTAATAAACCACTACCCTACGTGAACCAAAATATTAAACCAACTTACTCAAGTTCGCTCACTCAGGATTTTCCTGCTATATTTGAACCATATTTCTGAATCTCATTTCTTTCAACTGCAGGGTGGCTCAGGGTTAGTGCAAGGAGTCATGTTCTCCAACATTCAAGTTTCAGAAGTTGAAATCCCTATCATGATTGATCAGTTCTACTGTGATGGGAGCAAATGCCAGAACAAGACTTCAGCTGTGGCTGTGTCGGGCATATCCTATCAAAATATAAGAGGAACCTATACACTGAAACCTGTTCACTTTGCATGCAGCGACAGCTTGCCATGCACAGGTGTAACATTAAACACCATAAATCTAACACCAATACAGGAAAAGAACCACTTGTATGAACCCTTTTGCTGGCAGACTTATGGAGAATTGCAAACAACCACCACACCTCCAATAAATTGTTTGCAAATTGGCAAGCCATCAAACAACCAAGTTCAGAACAGTAATGGTTCCTGCTGAACTCAGCCAGGGGTATCAAAGAACTGTCTGAGAAGTTGCCACAATTTCCAAACCATAATATGCTAGATGATATACACTTAATGTAGGAGCACGAGTGTAGACGTTTTCTTACAGATAAAATGTAGAAGTTCTTGCCATCATAAGGGTTCTGTTCCCCATGGATACAGCTTTTGCTATTGCAAGACAGATCTTATTCTATAAAGCTCTACACTAGCCTTTAAGAATTTGACCTGTACTGCTTTGATGTCAGAGATATTATACATGAGCATACTAGCCAAAAGTACGTGAACCTGTAAACCCCTATCCTTCAGATGATTAATCAGTCTCATTGTCAGGTATAATACCTGAATCAATAGTGATATGCAATAGCACATTACAAAATTCAACACACCAACTTGGAATAAGGAAAGTGGAAAGCTACATTCCAGGCTTTGGGATATATTTGAGAGAAAGTATAAACACAGCCAAGACAACTACATAACATGCTAACTAACATACAAGAGTAGACCGTGCTGACCAAATGTATCCGCAAATATTCCTATTATTAATAAAATCTGTTACTTATCAAATAAATAAATAAAATGTATATGCAAATAAACTTCTTATGGGCATTTGCGACACCATGACATCAGGCAAATCGTACAAAAGCCAGAAGGAGAAAATTGACAAACATATTCCACTTTTCAGGTTTTGGTGTAATAGCCAGAGGAAGCTATAATTAACAAACAAATCCCACTCTTCAGGCTTTCAACTATCGACACCCTCGACAAAATAGATTAATACTACAAGAATAACAGACCACAGGAAAAGATGAGGACATGGAAGGTTTGCCAGTTCTTCTCTTTTGAATTATCTGCCACTATCGCACTTCCTTTTTCCAGGCACTTTGATCAATTAATGGAAATAGCAAGAAGATATAAGAAGAATATAACACTATCTCAAGAAGATATACGAAGAATATAACACTATCTCTTGGGTTTAAGATGTTTTCCCTAGTTCAAAGTCGAAAGGAGAATGCTCGTAAGGCCAAACAAGCCCAGGTAAAATTAAATAAATAAGAAAAATCACCCCTATAATCCCAAAATAAATTTAACTGCTTACAGGGGTGACAATGTGACATTAATTCATGGTGATAGTGATATCCTATTCAACGCCTCAGCATCAGAATAATCTGTGCTCTATCACAAGAAATTGTGCTCAACAGAGATACGGAAACAATGGCTTTGTATGATGCAAGCTACTTGAACATCAAAAATATTGAGCAATGCCTCATAGTCATCTTACACTCTGCTCCATTGGAAAAAAAACATAGGAAAAAAAATAGAGACTTAGGGAGTACGACCATTTTTTTTTGATATCTGATAGCATTAACCAGAAAACTAAATTGAGGCCCCATTCAGTGAAATTTTCCAGCAAAGAAAATTTGAAATCTGAACAACGTTTTCTTTATATTCCTGATATATGTTGTCAAATACCAAACAAAGTAGTTGTGTCAATTAAAGCATCTAAGAAAAATTAAACTGCGGCATTGAGACGACTGTTGAGCATAATAAGATTAAAAACATTATATCTCAAGTTCTTCGGTATAAAAAGTCATCTATGTTAGAGGAACAAAAAGAGATCGAAACTACAATGCAAAGAAACGATTGGAAGATGGATTCAAGTGTGCTTACAAGAATTTCTTTCGTCTTCTTCGAACAAGAAACCTTAATTTGCCTGCTTGTGAAGCCCCTGAACGCACTCGAGTAGGTGATGAGCCGAGTCGTTCAGATCGTTTTGAGACAAAACATAAACACATCTAACGGACAATATAATCTCAACATAAAAGACGGTTCAGATCATCTCAAAAATTTTGATCTAATGATCTGTAATGAGTACTAAATTTTATTTTTCCGCCCAACTCAAGCCTCTCTCTCACACATCTCTCTCTCTCGCGGCTCTCTCTCTCTCCCAATCTCTCACGCCTCTATCCCTGCCTTCCAAACTCATCCCTAAAATCTGTCATGAAATCCATCTCAATCTCAAATCATCTCCCATGTATCTCTCTTTAACACCAATTCCTCTATCTTTTTCCCAAATATCTCTCTCCCTCTCTATCTCTCTCTCCTTAACTTTCTCTCACCCGCCTCCTCTCTCGGTTAATCTCTTTCTTTCTTACTCTCACTCATATCATGCGCCTCCTTCTCTTTGATGAAGCAGCTGGTGATAAGCAACAAAACACCCAACGATGAGCAATCTCCGAACCTTTCTATCTCTTTCTCCCCATAGAGGCTCCACTGGCACAAACAAAGTCCCCACCCAGCGACGGATAATCTCCAAACCTATATGTCTCTCTCTCCCCCACATTGGCTCCACTGACACAAACAAAGTCACATGGGTTCTATTTCTCAAATTTAATATTTGGTTGTTCACTATTAAATATTTGCTTTGAAAGCTCAATTTTTTTTTACTATCCTGTATGTTAGTTTAGAATTTGGATATTGATTTGACTATTCTTTGCTTCTGTGGATGTATGTATGGATTTACTGGAAAAGAAGCCAAAATAGTTCATAACCTATTGCTTGAATCAATTCACGTTTCTTGAAATTTGGGTCTTTTAGTTTTGGTATTTGGGGTTTCAATTTTGGGGCTAGGTTTTCAGTTTTTATTTCTCATTTCTATGTTCTAATAATTTGTTTTGGGTATGGATTACTCTAGGCTTGCTTGCCACTACGAAGCCCAATATCACCTCTTGCGAGATTCATACTGCCAAGAGACTGGTGCTTCTTGGTGAATCAAGAACGAAGCTCAACAATTGTTTTTAGTACCTATATAGGTTGCAATACCTCATCAACTTTTCCAAATGATTTTTATTACTTTCACATATATTCACACAAAGGATTTTATTAAAGATTGTGGCAAAGAACTCTGGATATGGGGCACCTTTACCCGCCATCATGCTCGACAAGCTATACCACAATTCTTTCAATGCGAAGCTTTTTTCAAGTTCCTTTATTTGGCCTTCATATCACTGTAAGAAATTTGTTCAATATGATGCTTTCAATTCGACATGGTGAATCTAACATTGTTATAGTATCTCGAATTCCTGTAATTAATGTCCTTAATTATATCATTTTGTGTTCCCAGTTGTTGTAGCTTTTCTTGAAAATGAAAATTGCAAGTTTGCGGTGGAATCAAATGCTATTAAATGCTTATAAGCAATATTTTCACTCTTCCAAGGTATTCAAAAGAAAAGCCAATTAAAGATTCACCATGTATTTTTTAATGAATTACTTACCATATTGTTTGGAGATAATTCTATAATAGAGATGAGTTGTTGGCCAATTGATGATTTTTTTTGTTCTTCAAGTGTCATTATGGGGTTAGTGAAGATGGTGATTGAATTTTATCCTTTTAATACTAAAGCTATGCTTTGTGGAGATTTGATTTTTAGATTTTTAATGTGATTGGTTTGATGTGGTAGTGTGTGTACTGGTACTAAGATCTTTATTTTGTCAATCATTATGAGATTTCCTCTTGAAAAATATTGTCTCTCTGACCACCGATCGCCACTGTAGCCCCTAAACTAGCACTTATAGCCCTCAAGTTATGGAGGCTTCNCTGACCACCGATCACCACTGTAGCCCCTAAACTAGCACTTATAGCCCTCAAGTTATGGAGGCTTCTTCTTGAAATGGTTTACATTTGACCTTATTTATTGCTATAAGTTGATATGAAGGTCATGATATGGGCTTCATTGATTGATTCATAGTTAATGTCCAAGGAAAAAAAATGGTGAATGATTAGTTTGTCCCAGAATTTCAAATTTTTCATGTTAATCAATTTGAAGTTTTTGTTGATTTGTGTGTGTATTCATTTTTTTCCCTGTTTGGTTCTGTTTAATTAAGTAGGAGTGATTTTGGTTGTTTTATATGTTTTTTGAATGTGACAGAGTTATAGAACTTAACTGTGTAAAGAGGTGAAATTATTTTCATAATCTTAAACAAGTGGTGGATTATACAAATAGTCAACCATCTCTCAAAACAAGAGAAGTTGATTTTTTTTCTTCTTTAAACTTGGTGGAAAAGAAATGCATCTATACACATACAATTTTTTTTGGGTCTTTTGTTAATGCACATGTACATATTTGTATTGTTGTTGTAAATATAATTCTATGGATAGGTTTGGGTTTCTCTCCAAGCTTTCCCTTTCAAAAGAGCTCAATAGAGTTGCACACACCTCCTCAAATGCTAATCAAAAGATAAAATAGAAAATTCAGATTTTATGAGAGCAATTTCATTATATTTTTCAAAGAGTTCAAATGCAAAACACCTCTTGGAATTCTGCAAATACCATTTTTCTTAATGAAATTCACAAGCAATTGGTGAGTAGATGTTTTACACAAAAATTTTCTTGGGTTTTACAATAGGTAAAGATACATGAGATTATTCATGTTGATGAATTTGTGTTAATGAAACTTCTACTTGGTGGTGGATGTTGTTGGCAATTTTGGTGGGTAAGACGCTAAGGAGAAGCTCCGAAATACGTTGTTTAGGTCCATGGTAGTGTCTCTAAAGTACAATACTTCCTAGAGTTGAGGGAAGTCGAAACCTATGTTGGCGAAGAAGCTGTTAAGGCATATGAGGATTTCTTTTCTTTGTGTTTTTAGTATTAGCCCACCAAATGGTACTATCTTCATTAAAGCTAATATATGTTCTTTAACAAGAATGCTGGAAGCATTATTTTAGGTTTAATCTTCAGATTTTGAGCGTGGTTGAACTTTGGATAACTAAGAATTTTCTAAATAGTTTATACCTTGCATTTTTGTGATAGGTATTAGATTCTTTTTCTTACGACTTTTTATATGATATTGTATCTATGGATTCTACAACATCAATAAGTATGTGAAGTATGGGTGTTCAGAGATTGTTGAGTTAGTTTTTGATTGGTTGGGAATGTGGATTAATTTATGGCATGGTTGTATTATCTTTTTGTTTGATTACTTGGGTTTGTTGTGCTAAGAGATATGCTTAGGATTATAGAATTTGGTTTTCTTAACTTTTTTTCATATATATTGGCTGTGTTGGGTTTACTTTTCTTTTTTCGAAAGGTAGTTCATATTTTACTTTCATTTAGTAATTTTCAAGAAAAGAAAATTTAGATTAAAAATAGTAATTTATTTGGGTTAAATATGTTTAGATTAGATAAACAAGTTAAATAATTGTGCAATGTCAACCATGTCAACCCAAACAAGTCTATACTAAAAGTGTTGATAGTGGATTAAGTCAACTCGAATACGATATGTTCATTAAACATGTGATTAAGTCGGATTATTTGACATTATTAACCAAATAGTTTTAGGGTTAAGGAATTTTTGACACAAACTTGAAATGACGTATCTCTCGATCACTGGCCATACTTCAAGCACCGTAAGTTGTTTAAATAATTTAATATTTTTTGAATTAGCGTATTTTTTTTTGTTACGTAGTGTCTTCAGGTACGAGCATTATCTAGTCTATATATAAAATTAATATATGCATAATATGTAATTAATAAA